CACAGAGGCCGGCAGCGGCAGGCGGGGAAACTTGGCCTCCTCCATCACTGGAGTAAGCAAGCCTCCTGTTTGCTTCAGCTGCCTGGCTGCCGGCTGCCATCTTGGTTGGCAGTTAATTTGCATATCTCCCTGATTAGCGAATGGGAAGTGTGTTGGAGGTATGGTTAATTACCATGTTTGTCTATTATTAGATAGGATATGTATATATGTGTACATATGTGTATGTATGTATACACATACCGAAGGGTTTTAAGCAGGAAAGTGGCATAAGAGGACAGAAAGTGGTGGTTTTCAAAGTATGGTCTGGGACCAACTACTGGGTCAGAATCTCTGGGGCTCGAGCTCAGGATACTTATGATCAGCCAGATTTGGGAATTCATTACAAGTTCTAATGCAATAACGAGAGAGAAGCACTGTATTAGAGGAAATGGTGCAACCAGTTACCATGACTAAGATAGTGGCTGTAGTAATCAGGTGAGAAGTGATGAGGTACAGAGACAAAGGACTGCACTTGTGACTCATTTAGTCAAGGACTTCAGCCACATGTGACCCTTTCCCAGACAGTGGCTGAGGTCCAGGTAGTGGAGCTGGGGTTCCTATCTAGGTCCTCTGGCTCCAGGGCCTGTGGGCTTTGCTGTTTATAGCTATATCTTGATTATAAATATTGCATACTAGTATTTAGTTATCTTAGCACTTGTTTTGCAAATCTTGTATTTCTTTCTCACTCTCATAAAACCTAGGAGAGAAATAAGAGACAGACGAGTAAGGCCTTAAAAGGGCTGAATACACAGGCAAGGGGACAAAGGTAGATTTGATTAGACAATCACAGATTGGGGAAGATACACTGCATCTCCCTTCCTATTAACCCCAGGAGGCCTCCAGGAAACCTGAAGACTATAATCCCAGTAGCCCAGAGGGTGACCTGCCCTGGGTTATTTCCTCCCCTGGGTTATTACTGGGTGTCAGGCTGTGAAGCAGTTCAGGAATTCAGGAAATTGTAAAGAAACCACAACAGCCTCAACAACCATCTTCTCAAACATCAACATCAACAAGCTTGACAATAAAATTCATTAAAATTCGCCTCCCTGCCACCCACAACCACAGACCTGAAGGAGGCAGATGGCACTATGGGGAGGGAGAGGCTCTTTGCTGCTGCTTCCCCGATTGGATTGTCCGCACCCCTGGCCTGAGTTTTCCAGGGTCTCAGGGAAGCAGGGAAACTGGTATCCCTATTTCTGGGTCAGGGCACCAGCGTCCGCGGACGCCTCCACTTCGGATCCTCACTGTCAAGTAGGTCAGGATTAAAACAAACTGAGGTGAAGGCGGAGGTTGGCGTTCCTGGGGAAGCCTGGGCCGTCCCGGTACCTGGGGAGGCCTCGGAGCCAAGCCAAGGGAGTGAGAGTGGAGATGTCGGGGTGGAAAGGGGAAGGGAAAGGCGTGGCGAGGGGTCGAGGACCGGCCTGGGGTGGGCGTGTGTATGGAAGGATGGCCAATCAGAGAGTGTGCTTCCGCCAAGGGGCGGGATAGGGGATCGCCTGGGTGGAGATTGGCTAACGGCGCCGCGGCTTTGCGATTCAGCGTTATATACGGCAGAGGCGGCTGCGGTGCCATGGGGTCCGACCGCGGCGCGCTCGTCTGAATCGGACGCTCCGAGTTCCTCGGGTCCTGGGTCCGTTCTGTCCCGCCCCCAGGTTCGCTCCTCGGGCCCCCAACCTGTGGTTCGGCTCCTCAAGCTCCCGGCCTTGACGTCTGCAGAACGAAATGGGCACAGTCATGAATGCCTCGGACGGGAAAGAGCCGCTGCTCCAGCCCTACAGCTTCGAGCTGCTAGAGGACCTAAGGCCCTTTTTGGAGGAGTACTGGTGAGACGGGGGCAGCGGAAAGGTCACGATCCTGATGACTGGCATTAGCGGGGGTGGGGGGACGCTGCCCGCAATGGCACCGGGCTCTCCTGTGCCGGCTCCACATTCCCGCTGTCCAAGGTGCAGGTGCAGGTAGTGTGGTGCCGCAAAGAGATTAGATCTGGAGAAAGAAGGGGTGGGGGTGGGGGGGGGGAGAAGAAATAAAAGGATGGGGTGAGGAGACAGAAACCCAAGGGGAAGAGTGTAGCGAGAACTGGTCTCTGAGGAATGGGGTTGATTTGAACTCCTAGTCCCACCAGCCTGTAGACGATTCTTCTTTGTCCTTTGTGGCCTCGCGTGGCCGGGTGTCCCGTGTACATAGTGCTGGTGCCGAGGGACAGCCTGCCCTTCACAATCACCACGTTGTTCTCCAAGTGTTCCATCGTCCCAGCTGCGGGGAAGGGGCAAAGCCAGGGAGCTCTTCAATGTTCCCTCCGACTCTCTGGCCTTGCCCTCAGGCTCCTCCAAGGTGTCTGTGGGCTGATTTTGTGCTCCAGACAATTTGTGGCAGGTACTTGCCACACTCTTCTTACACCATAGGCCTGTGTTGTTTCTAGGCATGGGCCAGCACTTGTCACCCACTCCCAGCCCCACTGAGAGAGCAGTGATCACAGCACCCGTGGACACAGCCCCTGCCATGTGCTATGTCCTTGGCATATTTTTACTCCTCACCTGAGGAGATGCTATTATTGATTTGAGAAGGAGAAATATCAATGTGAGAGAGAAACATTGATCAGTGGCCTCCTGTACGTGTCCTGGTGGGGGATCAAACCCACAACTTGGGTATGTGCCTTGACCAGGTTTGAACCCGCCACCTTCTGGTGTACAGGATGATGCTCCAACCGAGTACATCTTAAGTACTTACATAGTAACGCTGTCAGGAGAGGAGTATTCTTCCCCTTTTACAAATAAGGAAACGGAGGCTCTGAGAACAAAGTAGCTTTTCCAATGTCACAAAGCTAGTAAGTGGCAGAAGTGGAACTCCAATCCAGAGCACTCACTCGGGGAGATGAGTGGGTGTTTCTCTAACCAGCACCCACCCACCAGCCCCTCCCCTGTGCCTTCTGCCTCCCAGGACAGCCTCATTTCCCATAGCTCTGATCTACCTGCTGTTCATCTTTGTGGGGCACAACTACATGAAGGCACGGAAGGGCTTCAACCTGCAGGGGCCTCTCACCCTTTGGTCCTTCTGCCTCGCAGTCTTCAGGTAAGACACTCCTCGCTTATTCTGTACAGCCTACCCTCACTCCATCCCCAAAAGCCTTCTAGAAACTTCAATTGCATCAACTCCCCAAGTTGCCCCCAGCTCCCCCATCCCATTCTCTCAGCTCTGGGGCCCTCCCCAGCTTCCCCTCTCCTTCCCCAGGCACCAGACTGACAGTTTTTGTTCTCTCATGAGTCCTCTTGTGCTCATGGAGTCTGTATGCTCCCGACAAGTTTCTCCAGACTTTAAGATCCTCCAATAACTTCCCTAGCCCCTCCTCCCCCTATTTCCTCTCCCATTGGTATCCCCCATCCTGCCACCCATCTCCTCATAGGCTCCTACCCATCCCAAGAATTCTGTTCCTTAAGTCAACTTTCAGTCCCATCCTCCAGCATTCCCTGGTCCTTTCCCAGCCCTCATCTCTAGATCGCTGGTTGGATTTACCAGATTGGCTCCAGGATCTCAGAAGCCATGACTCCTGGAAGGATGGGAAGGTGGCGGAACTTGGGTCCTGACCAGGCTGAGGGGGAAGGGTGGATTGGTGTCTGGGAATGATCTTACACCCTTTTCCTCTGTCCCATTTCAGTATCCTGGGGGCAGTGAGGACGTGGGGCTTTATGGGAACTTTGACACATAGGCATAGCCTAAAGCAAACTGTGTGCTTCACCACCTTCCTCCACGATTCTGTAGTCAAATTCTGGTCCTGGCTCTTTGTTATCAGCAAGATCATTGAACTTGGTAAGTGGCAAGGTTTTGTCTCTCTGGCACCCAGTCGACTGCATCCTTCCTCAGTTACCCCCTCGCCCATCACATGGAGAGTCCCTTCCCTACCCCATGGTCCTAACAACACCTCTCACCCAAGCCCTCCTCCAGATTCTCTGTCACGAAGACCCCTCTCCCCACCCTGAGAATTCTCCCTTTGCCCCCACACTCAGTGCAGAGGGTGGTCCCAACACTGGGTGGTATGTCAGCTATGACTCCCCATCTCCCAGGAGACACAGCCTTCATCATCCTGCGTAAGCGGCCACTCATCTTTGTGCACTGGTACCACCACAGCACAGTGCTAGTGTTCACAAGCTTTGGATACAAGAACAAGGTGCCTGCAGGCGGCTGGTTTATGACCATGAACTATGGTGTGCATGCTATCATGTACACCTACTACACTCTGAGGGCTGCCCAAGTGAAGCCCCCCAGGTGGTTTCCCAGGCTCATCACCAGCCTGCAGATCCTGCAGATGTTTATGGGGGCCACTGTCGTCGTCCTGGCTTACACCTGGAGACAGGAACAGGGATGCCACACCACAACGGAACAATTCTTCTGGTCGCTCCTGCTGTATATAACCTACTTCATCCTCTTTGCCAACTTCTTCTACAAAACCTACGTAATGCCCAAGGTTAAAGACAAGACCAAGAGCGAGTAAAGGGTTGGAGAAAAAGAAGGGGCTCCATGGAGGGGTTTGGTTTAGGTTTGGGAGAATGATTAGGAGGTTTTCCCTGCGTGGTTTCCCCACAGGATGTGTGCCCCAAGGTGGCAGGAAGTTATGACAGACAAGAAACGTCAACCATGGGAAGGGGATGTGGTGTAGTACTTTGATGTTTCTGTTTTTAATATGAAGGCCAAGCAGACCCTGAGATGGGGCTGGGACTGGGGAGGATTCCCACAGCCGAATTATTTATATTTCTATATAGAAACCTTCCTCTTCTTGCTCTATTTTTTAATTAAATATTTCAAGGAGACTTCTAGTTTGGGGGAATTTGGGGGAAGAAGGGATCTGCTGTGGTGGGAAATGGCTGCTGGCAATGGGATGATCAGTAGGTTAGACGTCTAAGAGGATGTGTGGATGAGAAGCACACACGCAGACACTCAATAAGAATCCTAGTTTCGGTAGGCACTTAATAAATGTCTGTTACAGACCAGAATTTTATTGCTGTTAGAGGCCCAAGCCCCTCATTGGAACAGTGAGGAACAGGTGCAGAAAGGCGGAGTAACTTCTCTAAGGTTCTTAGGCTTCCTAAATTGCAGAAGTGACACCTGCAAGTGTGACAGACCAGATCTCCCAGTTATCCTCCATACGACCGCAAGGTGGCGCCGCAGCACCAACTTTAGCCAACGCCCGCCAATGGCTAATCCCCCCAAGCCATCCACACAGACACGCCAGCGCGCGCGCCCCTCCTCTGCTCCTTGGCTTCCCCAGCCTGGTGTTAGCGGCGGAGGGGGACCGAAGCCCTAGAAACGTGGGCCCTCACCTCTTCCTGAACACACAGCTCTGGTTTGGACCTGGGGGAGGATGAGGGGAAAGGGCTCAAGTGCAACTCCAAGTCATCAGGCCTTTCACGGTCCGCGCACGTTTATTTCATTTATCTTTGAAAATGATAAATGGGAGAGGAGGAGTCTGGAGAAGGCGGGGCGGGCCAAGGGTGAGTTGGCCCCGGGGAACTGGTCCCTGTGCCTGGCCTTAGTCCCAAGGGCGTGGACTGGGGGGAGGGCCCCGTCCACCCCTCGGGGCTGGGAGTGGGGAGGCGATGAATGACCGACCCCGTCCTCGGGGCTGGCAGACCCGCTCGGCACTCATACGGGCCGCTCCACGGCGTACTGACAGGGACTGAGGTTGGCTGCCGGGGGCGGCCCGGGTACCGCGGGGTAGCTGAAGGAGGCGTGCTGTTTGGCCTTGAGCCGCAAGCTGGCCAGACTGGAGTTACACGGGTCCCGATAGACGTAGGGGGAGGAGGCGGCTGCAGCAGCGGCGGCGGCGGCGGCGGAGGCGGAAGGGCAGGACACTGCTCCGGAGGACACGGAGGCTGGAGCCAGCCCAGGGGGTCCCCCGCCCAGGCCTTGCAGGGCCCCGGGCCCCGGCACACTGCCCGGGGCGGCCGTGGCCGAGGGCACCATGGAGGCGGCGATGGAGCTGGGTGGCGAGAAGACGGGCTGCGAAGCCAGAGGCCCCATGTTGACCGAGTTGAAGGCGAACGGGAAGGTCTTGGCGGCGAGCGGCGGGCCGAGCGCCTTGGGTGGCCAGTTGCCGTACGA